ACAAGGCTTAAACCTAATCCCAGACTAAAATGCATGCCTGGGCTGCTTTACCTGAAAGAACCTTGCACTGACAAACGTTTTGTCTCAAGATGCACACGAATGATGTTGTTTTTATGGCCTAATCCTGGCTTTAACCTAAGCCCTGTCTATGAAACCAGGCCTATAAGTGATATGCACAATTCATTTTGTATATTGTTCTACAATATTATTTTAGTTAGTATTTTTTCATATATAGATTAATACTTCTGAGTATTAAGCTATGCATGGAAAAATACAGCAACTACATACTGTAGTACGACTGAGGGAAGAGAACGCAACTATATATAAGATATTTTTGATGAAATCTGAGGGCTCTCTGACCCTCCCATAGACAGCAAGGTAACTACCACGTTCAAGGTCCAGAAAAGTACCAAGATGATCGACAAAGTAGTCCGTGTGACATCAGTGGTTCAACCGCCACACGCTCGCGTCATGATACTGTCGTGAATGCACATTCACAAACGACGCAGTAGAGATGAAAATGTGGAATAAAGTTGTTATTTTTGTTTTCTTTGAGCAAAAAAGTATTCTCGTAGCTTCGAAACTTTACAGTTTGAACCACTGATGTCACACGGACTACTTTGTCGATCATCTTGGTACTTTTCTGGACCTTGAACGTGGTAGTTACCTTGCTGTCTATGGGAGGGTCAGAGAGCCCTCAGATTTCATCAAAAATATCTTAAATTGTGTTCCGAAGATGAACGAAGGTCTTACGGGTTTGGAACAACACGAGGGTGAGTAATTAATGACAGAATTTTCATTTTTGGGCGAACTAACCCTTTAACTACACATACCTAGTGAAATGTGTATGCACACATAATATATAGTTTTTGTGTAGTGCACATGTTTGAAACACTACTTTTGTTTGTATTATTTGTATTGTCTTGAATAGAATACAGCTCAAAATAATACTGTAGTACTTAGTGAATAATGTATAAGTACATAATATGTAGTTTCGTGTGTAGACAGACAGATACTGTAGACATATAGATAGATAGATAGATAGATAGATAGATAGATAGATAGATAGATAGATAGATAGATAGATAGATAGATAGATAGATAGATAGATAGATAGATTTCAATAGAAGAAAAAATGATCGGATCAGTTAGTTGGAAATAAGTCATTGTATGTATTCAGAAACACAAAGACAGAAAGAGAGAGCGGGCAATAACTTGAAAAGAGAGCCCTGTGAAAAGTGTTGAGTTTCTAGAGGCGCGCACAAATGTTCCTTTCATTCACGGCCAGCCGAAGGGGCCACCTGTTTCAGGGATTGGGTGGCCTTTGTTCCGAGGTCGTCCTGACCAGGGACTTCACAATACTTCCCAGCCCAGGGAATTCCTCTCTCTCTGCAGTCGCATCTGAAATGGAGCTCGAGCCACGGCAGACTGTTTCTCAGGAAGTAGCCATCCCAAGAAGAATGTCAGTCAGCTGCATGTCCTTCTTGTGACCAACCTGGAAATACGCCTGCCAGTTATAACAGGAACAGTGTCCATCTTTGTTTAGAGGGAGTCTATTCTAATTCAGTTTAAACAATGCGGAAAAGAAAGATTGTGTGTTTTAGTCATTATGAGTGACTGCCACAGAGATTAGATTACTAATCATATTCAGATTAATCTGCCCTTTATGATATTGTGGAAGGTCACAGCTTTGTTTACTACAGTTTCTTCAACCTCACTTATAGGCTACACACAGCAGATCACTT